TGAAATATATTGTCTTCAGGTACACCATGTCAGACATTTAAGTTCAGCTTTGCACTGTTTAAAAATCTTTGGACCCAATTCTAGAACATCTCTTGATTGTTTAAGAATGTTAAATAAATCCAGCCAATCTTTGAGCTTCAGGAAGTTGAGATGATTGTTTAATTTTATAACAAAAACTCTGATGAAAAGAGTGAAAACAATTCAACTCATTGCAAGTGACATTCTAGAGTTTGGACCTCAGTCAGGTTAATGTGTACATTTGGAAGACGGAGATCTGTTCAAAATTTGACCATATAGTGTAGGTGTAGTCAGTGAGTGGCTGATGGACGCATGTCTCCTCAGGATTTTTTGACATTTATCAACTTTTTGCTGGCTACTCTCCACAGGAAGAGCTGTATACAGTTATTATAGTTAAGAGGGATAAATCTTGGGATTAAGGGATAAGGTTTCAGTTGAATGGATGGTTTCCTTTGTGGTTTAATAGTGGCTTCCTTGGTACTTCTTTTATACACTTGGGCTGAAGACAGGGCTCTCTTTTTTTTCTTTTATCATTTCATTTCTTTTATTCGCCTATGAATATTTATATTGATTTTCATCGTTTGTGGAGGGTGGCCAGTCTCATAGCCGAGCACCATCCTTGTCCAGTGCCGGCAAAATAAAAGTTGTAACCACCAGACGATACTCGTTGGATTTGATTACTGTATTTAAAGGTCCAGTTTTAGGAACTAACATTTTCTAAATGGCTCTATTGCTTTATAGTTATGGGAGAAGGGAGGGGCTATGCTTAGCTTATTCTCATTATTATGGTACTTGCTCCTATTCCCCTTAAAAATTTTAATATTTTATATAATGACTGGTGTAAGTGATATAGATGGTGAACTCTATGGCGGTTATGGGTTGTTTTAACCTATTCTGAGGCTTCTTGAAGTACCTAGTCAGCAGATCTTCGGGTAAACTCTGGTGACAGTTTGCAACTATTCTTAATAACACAGGCTACAAATGACTGCCATCAAAATTTTGTCAACCCTATGTTTGAGATTTTCTATTGTTAGGTCTCAAGTAAAGTTTTATATACACATGACCTCTTATAGAGGCTTATGAACAAATGTTTGACTGCTTTATATTTGTAGCCTACCTTCTTTGTTGTTTTTGTAATGCAAAATATGTAGTGAGAATGTTTGTAACTGGTTTTGGATTAGATGTGTCCTGTCCTTGATAAACACTGGAGGCTAGTCTGCTCCAGTGAGTCCGCTTGTGCCGACTTGGTACACGACCGCCCCAAGGCCGCAGTCACATCCACCCTGGTGGCCCACACCACATCCCTCATTCATCACAAGGTACCTTTGTCCCGACCATCTTATTTTTGTAAAACTCACTGGAATTCATTCATTCACTATTTTACATATCATTTTTCTACATGGAGGATGGTTATCAGTGGCCTCTTTAAATGGTCAACATTGTCAACACAAACTAAACTGTTATCAGGTTCAACTTCTGATTGATTTACTATTTAAAAATTTCATTGGAAAGCAAAGATGTACAATTTGTTTTGTAAAACATTTTATTCACAGCAGATGTGCAGCAGGGATAAGCAGAGGTCATTAGGTTAACCTGTCCATTAGGTTAAATAACTTGCACAAACCTTGTTCTTTCTCAGCCCAAGTTAGGTTAGCATTTCTTTGAATATTATTATTATAATTATTACATTGTTATGGAAATGTCTTGTCTATACTTGTATGGTAGATGATATCTTATCTTTCATTGTAGTATACACCCAATTGCCACTAACCTTTGAACCATTGAAAGGAATCTTGGTGTGGTTTGGGCCAGGTACCTGCAACACGGTAGAAGCTGCGGCAACATATGTTGTAAAGGTTTATTTTTCAGGTGGTGCCGTTATTCCGTCCGCGCCCGCCCTCAACCCTGACCTCACTCAAGTCTATAAAGACTTATTATTTTTAACCTCAGCTAGTTTTACCCTGGTACATAAGTGAGTTTACTTAAATAGCATTCCCAACTTAAAGGGGAATGATGATAGTAGTAGCTTAGAGTAGTAGTTTTCATATTTTAATGAGTTTTAACCAGCAATTTTCCCAGGATCGATTCAAGAATCCTATCTAGAGGGCAGCTAGGGCCAAGCTTGAGGGCAGGCCGGACCAGGACCAGTGTGTGGGTATTGTATAACTAGGGTCTTGTGGTCTGCCCCAGGGAGTGTGGGCAAATGCCCGTGGCGGTCCTCAGCAGTACAAAGTGTCTCCCGTGCCCCGTGCAATGGTCATTATTATCATTACTCTCGACGTCAGTTCACCACCCAGTCCTCACCCGACCACGCGGTAGCACACGCGTCTAGACATTTAGTAAGGTTAGGATTCAGTAATAAAATATCATTGCAGATTACATTGTGACTGTCATTATCCTGTTTCATAAAAGACTAAAAAGGAAAAAGGAAAGATAGTGATTTTAATGGAAATATTCTAGATCTATTTTTAGAAAGATTATACTTCACTGATTTCAGAAGTAAGGTGCAGTAATAGAAGTAATCCTAGAAGTTATTATACAATAAATCTAGTGTGTGGCTCCAAAATTTACTTAAATATCAATGAAATGTATAAATAAATAAATATAGTATATGAGTTTTTTCTCAGTGCATATAATGTAGATAATGTGATTAAAAATATTTGTATTCTATGTTGTGATCCTAAAAATAAAAATGGTTCAAAACTTATGCTCTTGAATTTATGATAGTCAACTACTCATTGACCCACAAATGGAAGGAAATGGATTTTCTTAATGTAAAGGAGAAAGATTTATACAAATTACTCTTGTAGCCTAGAGGTAAAGTAAAAGCAAAAAGATAGTGTGTCCTATTTTAGGGATCTTTTCATACTGCTCACTCTTTCTCCACAGCAAAGTCCAGTAGGCTACAAGGCCCTGCTTGTTTATTCCAAAGGCATGTAGAGAAGAAAATTATTCCATTAATGAGTAACTAAAGAGGTTGACAACTACAGCCTTGAAGTAAATTACGAGTGTGTACTGTGTTCTGATTATAGTGCATAACACATGAAAATTCAAGAATGAGAATTTTAATATGCTCATATAACAAGCTCATACACACTGATTTATATACCCAGCTAATACACTTTTATTTATATATCCAGTTCATTATATTTATTTGCTCCTGTACTCCAGTTGATACAGATGTAAGGACTTCATGGAGTAACTTTATCATTAGAGAGGGGAACAATGTGTTTTAGATACAATAAAAAAGTTAATTAATACAAGCATGATGTTCAATAGCCCATACCAAAATATGTACTCTAAATCCCATAACTATGTTCTGCCTTTGGTCATATTTTTCACAATATGTGAACTCACTCTCTGTTTGTCTTCTCTCTCTTCTTTCTCTCTCTCTCAAACAAACAAAATTCAAAGCACCTTGCGTTGTGAAGTTTTACATTCTCAACTATACCTTTATTTTCTCCTAAACTTCTTCACATCATCATAGTCTGTTAGCATATTTCTGCATATACATATCGCGCACGCGCTCACAGCACACGCATAGATGTATGGGTACATGAATGTGAATAGTTTTATGGAATGTGTAATAAAATTCACTCATTGGATTTTATTTTATTTCCATTGTTATTAGTTTTGTTTGTTAGCAAAGAATAGCTTTACAAATTCACACCCAGTTTACATGATTATTGAAAACATGTTCTATAAATGTACACTTGTTATATGGTATAAATAGATATCTTCAACAGTATTTATTTTCCAAACAGCATACTCATTTCACAATTATATGGAAGTATGATCCTGACCACAAAGTAATATCTTTTTGTAATGTGTGTGTTTGTCCATCACAGCCTACGATTCTGACAAGACGTTATCGTTTCTCGCTTGGAATTTCACATTTTCGAAGTAGAACTATTTCCAAAATCGCTGAAGCAACTGTATTCACTATCTTCTGATCCTTAGTAGTTTCGTAATCTTTGAAGTTAAGTTATTTTCATAATATTAAAGGAAAATTATTAATCTTCAATCACAAACATCGTAATCATTGAAGCGAAACTTTTCATAATCTTCGAATCATTATTTTCAGTCTTTGAAGCAACACCAAAGACAGTATTGAAAGCTACCCTTAATGTCTTGAACAATCATATCAACTGAACGACTTTGTAAAAATGAATGTTGCTTCATTAGAGGAATTATGAAATCCACTATCATGGGGAAGCGGCCATTACGCTGTATAACTGTATCACTGAACAATCAAATTCTATTTTAAAGAAACTATTATAAACAAAAAGCATTTCAGGACCATGGTTTGAAGATCTGACTGGCATGATTTCAGAATATCAGTGCATAGTAAAGGACATGAAGTGTGTCGGCAATTATGTCACACTAGCACAAAACCTTCATTTTATAGTGTTAGTCACTCTGTAGAGAAGTTATTTTACGACAAAGGACAAGTGCGGGCGTGCATATCCAAAGGCATTCTCAGTGCAATTGCGTCTATTGAATATTTTGATTTTAGCTTTCATATATTACATGAACATTGATAAATTCATTTAAATGCATCAACAAAACGAGATACACTGCACTAGTGCGAATAAATCAATGGTCATGTTATATATTCTATATTAATAGAATATTTATAAACTTATTGTCGTCCAATTAATCTGTGACCTTTGGATGCGCATACTATCAAATATCAACAACGTTCGTTGTAACATGTGAAAATATTTCAATGAGAATGAAAAAATTCACGAAGGATGATACTTTAATTCGCACTTTAACTACAGTGCGTCCAGTAACAAGAAATGAAAAACTGGCAACTCTTCCGTACCTTCGAGCACCACGATTTTTCACCAAATCACCTTTTTATTCTTATCACTTTACTCTTGATTCTCTGCTTACTTTTAGGATTTTTTAAAAAGAAAATATTTGAATCTGCATTTTAATGAAGTTTGCCCCCCCCCCCCAAAAAAAAAAAAAAAAAAAAAAAAAAAAAAAAAAGACAGCGTATCGGTCCTCCTGAGGCCGCGATAAGCTGCCAGTTTTCCTTTTCTTGAAAAAGTGTAGAAGCTATTTACAAAGCTAACCTTACGCAGTGAAATTCTTCATTCTCATTCATTTTTGTCTTTAAAAGAATACAGATCAGGGTTCATACTGTGCACAATGTTAATGCTATGTGGTACGATTCATGCAATCTAGGAGTCATCATACTGGAACAAAAACACGCAAACGGAATTATCTTGCTTATTTGACAACCAGTGCCAAATATTTGAATTTTGATACTCATCAAGTCTAAAATTAAAATGTAGATATATGTAAGGATTACAATACAAAGCAAAATTATAGGAAGTACTCCATGGGGGTACATAACCTACTAATGACACTAAAATTAGTATCAATTTTTTTCTTCAGTTAGTCCCTGACACAATTCAGGAACGACTAAACTACTACACACTCCTGAAAAAATCTTCAAATGCTACTTATACATGCTACCGGGCATTGTAGTTCATTTACTAATTAAAAAAGAATGAAAGAGAATAAAAATAAAATAAAAATCAATACAAATCTGACGATAATCTTTACATCAAGACATCCACCACGGAGAGTCTCCTGCCATTCTGATCCACAGAAGACTTCCTCGAGTAGGTACTGACTCTACTGACTCTCCGGTCCTTGCTCTGCATGACCTCCAACTCGCTCACCTTGGAGTCCTCCTCAGCCTTCGTTATCTCGTATTCTTTCTCTGCAGAAGAAGAAAAAAAAAGATGATTAGAATAAGGATAAAAAAAAAAAAATGAAATTTAATCTATCGTTGTCAGCAATATCTTTCATCCCGCATCAAAATCTTCCACGATTTTTCCAAAACATTTCCGAGACATTGCTCAAAGAATGATAAACCGTCCGAATGCGTTGAAATTACCTCTCTTTTCTACTAGTTTCTTCATGTAGCAGTGATGAATAAGGAAGTAGAAGACTGCGCCAAAGAGTGCCACGCCTCCGAACACCTTGAAGGCCCCCGCGGTGTTGAGTGAAGCGATCAGATAACCGCCGGCGAACGCTCCCAAGCCCTTGCCTGGAAGCAGAATCATTTTCATTTTGTTTTCTTAAAGTTACAGGAGTGTAGCGATGGACGGATATAGAAGTGATGAGGGGGTGAGGACAAATATTGTCCTGCTTGATCCGTTTTGCATTATATTTTCGCCCTGCACATTATTGATATATATATATATATATATATATATATATATATATATATATATATATATATATATATATAAACATACATATAACATATAAAGGGATTAACAGTTATTTAGTGTGTAATGTGTGTGTGTGTGTGTGTGTGGTGTGTGTGTGTGTGTGTGTGTGTGTGTGTGTGTGTGTGTGTGTGTGTGTGTGTGTGTGTGTGTGTGTGTGGTGTGTGTGTGTGTGTGTGTGTGTGCATGTGTGTGTGTGTGCATGTGTGTGTGTGTGTGTGTGTGTTGTGTGTGTGTGTGTGTGTGTGTGTGGGTGTGTTGTGTGTGTGTGTGTGTGTGTGTGTGTGTGTGTGTGTGTGTGTGTGTGTGTGTGTGTGTGTGTGTGTGTGTGTGTGTGTGTGTGTGTGTGTGTGTGTGTGTGTGTGTGTGTGTTGTGTGTGTGTGTGTGCGTGCGCATGTGTGTGCATTATTTATATCTATATGTTTAATGTGTATATGTGCGTTTTGCCATGTTTACCGTTTCTGAAACCAACAGAAGCCATCACTGGCAGACCATAAATATTCCATCATTTAACAGTGTTGGAAAATTTGAAATCACGTGTTCGGCGCAGGACTTAAAACGAAATCAGCCTAAACTACTACAAACACATCAAATTGCAGAAAGCCGTCTTCCGAAGCCCGTTGTGCATCCAAAATCCGCATTAATGGTGTGTCCCTGTCTGTCGGTCAGACTTCGTGCCTGTCCACCCGCGGGGAGATTAATAAGCGATGTATGGTCATGTTTGGTGGCATGATGGGCATTTAAGCGACGGGCATTTAAGCGACAATGTTTCCCAAGGAGGTTCACTGACCAGGGTTCTCCAGGAATTTTGTTTTGAAGCAAGATCTGTCAATAAATCGCTCATAAACATCGAAAAAAATGCACAAAAAACTGAGGACGGCGAAAAAATATCCTTCGAAACAATGGTTATCAAAAGTCAGACACGAACGCCAAAAACAAAAACAAAACAAAATAAAGAATATAGATTCTCACCGTTTCATATCTTTTGCCAGAAATATACCTGTCAATTCTTGGCTCAACTTAATAGTGAAAGAGACAACTATTCTCCTTTACAGTCGCGGTCAAAAAAATTATCGAGCATGTTTCGAATTCTGCTTCGAACATCAGCTTAAAACCAAACTTTTTGTATAGATCAAGACATGTTCGAAGCTGCAACTCATTAAAGGACTTCTGCCCGTCACTGTACTAGAGCTGTGTGTAAATTACCAAACGAGTCCACTCCATCCGTGAACTAACATAAACTACCTTTCTTTCTAAGTGACAAAGAACAATCTGGAACCAAAATGTCCTACAGTTCGACACTTATGTAATAAAAGTTCCTTCACTAGCACCTACGATGTCTGCCTTTCTGGCTTTGTCAGCAAAACTTTTATTGATTCAGTTCTACGTCCTGTAGTTAGATTTATAATTTTCATCGATTCGGATACTATTACCACCATTATGCTAAAGATGGTGGGGGATCCCACATTCCAATTCTATTATATATATAATGTATATATATATATATATATATATATATATATATATATATATATATATATATATATATATATATAATAATATATATGTATATATAATATATATATATTATGTATATATATATGTATGTATGTATATGTATATGTATATGTATATGTATATGTAATATGTATATGTATATGTATATGTATATGTAATTATACATATATAATAATATATATACATATATATATATATATATATATATATATATATATATATATATATATATAAACCCACATACAAATAAATAAAACTGGCAAAACTATCAGCAAAAGACAGACAGATAGTAGAAGAGAGAAAGAGAAGAGAGAGAGAAAGAGAGCGAGAGACCAGGGAGCGGCACCGCCCTGCCCTCACCGAAGCTGTAGTGCATCGCCCCGGCCATCCCCGTCATGGTGGCGAGGAGGCCCTTGGGCGCCAGGATCGGGCAGTAGGTCGCCGCCGCCACCCACATCAGCTGGTACGTGAACACCTCCAGGGTTTCGAAGGGGAAGCACATCCACGGGTTCCTGGGAGAGGAGAAAATAGGATAAAATAGAGGAAAAAATATAAAATAGAAGGGAAAGGATGTGATAGGAAAGGCAGTGGTGGATGCCAGGGCGTCGGGGGAGGAGCTGAATTCCTTTGTTGAGATGGATTGCGCCCCTCAGTCATGTAATGCATGGTGTGTAGAAACAATATTGTAATTTAGGCAATAGTGGAAGCAGAAGTTGATGATAAAATGAATGGGAAATAACAGTGAGTCGTGAAATATCTTCCCTCTCCTTTCACTCTCTCTGTCTATCTATATCTCTGTTTGTCTGTCTGTCTGTCCCCCCCTCTCTCCCTTTACCTCCCTTCCTATCTTTTTTCTTCCTTCCTTGCTTCCTTACTCCCCCCCTTTCCTTTCTCCTCTTCCTTCCACCTTCCCTGCACCTCTCCTCTCCACCCTCCTTCCCTCTCATCCTCCTTCCTCCTCTCCCCACCCCCCTTCCTCTTCCTCTCCTCCCCACTCTCCCTCCCTCCCTCCCTCCCTGCCTCCCTTACACAAACAAACCACATCCATAACCTCCACCAACACACGCGGGAGCAACCACCCCGACTGGACTCACGTGATGTAGGCGTAACCAAACATCCTGACGGCGTAGGCGAGGAAGGACACGAGAAAAACGTTGTGTCGCCCCATCTTGTCCACAATGGGGTCGGCCCAGAACAACATCGGGATGCTGATCATGCAGCCGGTCGTCATGGTCAGCCCTGGGGGGAGAGAGAGGGGGGGGGGGTTATCGCGAGGAAGGTTTAGGGGAAAAAAAGGATGATTCAGAGAAGATTAAGTCCGCGAGGTTTAAGTCCGCGAGGAATATCAAGAGTGCAAGGAAGTCGAAATCTTGAGGAATATCAATGTGAGGAAGACCGTATCAGCAAGGAATAAAAAAAAAGTCAGCCAGCAAGATAAATCCTCAAGGAATCTCAAGTTTGTGAGGAAGATAATTCCACTAGGAAGATCTGATCCGCGGGGAACACGAGATCTGCGTCTGTTGACCTGATGAATTATGGGCTGATGATGGTCCAGTTTTACGTCCTTCGCAAGGGCTAGGACGGTACTTTATTGCATGTACATTAGATATAACAGTGAAAGACCGTTACTCTGACCGTGAGACCTAAACTCGGACCGTGACCAGCTGCCGGATTGTCAGAATTGTGCGAGGCCCGACCCAAAGAATATTCGTATACTTGACATGCATAAAAAAGAAAATAAATGCATATTTATCAGTCTAGACATGTATATCAACCGGGCAAATAGATAGGTAAATGTATATCTATCAGATATATGGACAGATATGCCTTTATTTCTGCATCTGTATTTATGAAAATTCATTGGGTCGGGCCTGGTACAATTTTAACAAACTGGCCGCAGGACTCGAATCGTGACCGCTGCTCTACGTCGCCGTTCCACACTGGACATTACAAGTATAAAAATCGGAATTACAAGATCTCGATCAGTTTGATGGACTAAAAGCGTAAAGAGAAAAAAAATAGATTTGAATGCATCATCAGGGGAGCGTGATTTGAAGAAACTGAATGCTCTCGACTAATGATAAAATGTATAAATCGAAGAAAGTGTTTCAAATGTATTACTATGGGGAATCGCGGGTTCAGAATCAGCATAAGACGTTACTAGTCACTTTATGGAACAACCCTCTAATATCGAACTAACAGAAATATTCCTAGTCTTGATGAGGAACAAAATACCATTAGTTCTTACGTAGCCTGAACTATTTAAACGCTAGAATGTTGTTTAAAAGCATTGGCAGAAAATCACTGGTCTTGGTTCATAACAAAACGCCACTGATCTGTTTGATGGCAATACGGTGTCATAACATTTCCCTCAAATGCACGGATCAAAATTCAGAACAAAAGGCCATGCATAAGTTTGCTAAAATAAACATACTGACGGAATACATCTGGTTTAAACCCACCGTCGGGAAATAATACACTCTCCCTTCACAACAATTAACTTCCCAAGCCATAAATATCTCAACTCCTTGACTCACCGAGCAAGTAGTTCGGCGCATTCAGCTCCTTCAGGTAAACGAACAGGTAGCTCTCGATGAAGCCGTAGTTGGTGCCCATAATAAGAATCAGGATCATGAAAATGTCGATCTCCACCCTCGTTATGATTTCCTTCAGCCCCTTCGTCAGGCTCTCCTCGGGCAGCTCGACCTGGGCACGGGGGGGAAGCTGGGTTAGAAGGGCGCGCAAGGTGGGTGCAGGAAAGGGGGCTTATGGGGGTACGACATCTGGAGGTTGATGTCTGCGAGGGAGGAGGTAGGTGGAGTGACATATGTGAATTTATATATATATATATATATATATATATATATATATATATATATATATATATATATATATATATGTGTGTGTGTGTGTGTGTGTGTGTGTGTGTGTGTGTGTGTGTGTGTGTGTGTGTGTGTGTGTGTGTGTGTGTGTACATATATATAAACATATAATATACATATATATATGCATATAAGAAAGAAAAAGAAAAGAAAAAAAAAAGAAAAAGAAAAAAAAAAAAGAAAAAAAAAGAAAAGAAAGAAGAAGAAAGAAGAAGAAGAAGAAGAAGAAGAAGAAGAAGAAGAAGAAGAAGAAGAAGAAGAAGAAGAAGAAGAAGAAGAAAGAAGAAGAAGAAGAAAGAAGAAAGAAAAGAAGAAAAGAAAAGAAGAAAGAGAAGAAGAAGAAGAGAAGAAGAAGAAGAAGAAGAAAAGAAAAGAAGAAGAAAAGAAAGAAAAGAAGAAGAAGAAGAAGAAGAAGAGAGAAAAGAAAAATATATATATAATATATATATATATATAATATAATATATATATTATATATATATATATATATATATTGCATACATATACACATACATATACAACGCGCCCAAAACCCCCACTCACTTCCAGAGGCAACCGGGACACCAGGAAGACGGCCAGGAGCAGAAGGGCGTCGCCGAGGTAGAAGGCCGGCATGTAGTCGATTACACCTGCGGGAGCCAGGGGAACGGCGTGAGGTTAAGGGGAATCCAGGAGAAATGTTGTATGTGGGGAAAAATGCCTACGGTAGGGGGGGGAAATATGCTATAGTAGGGGGGAAATATAGTAGGGGGAAAATTATGGGAATCTAGGGGATATGTAGGATAAAAAGGCTATGGTAGGGGAAAAGTGATGGGAATCTAGGGGATATGTAGGAAAAATAAGGAAGGGGAAAAAGGTGTTGAATCTAGGGGAAATATTTTGAGAAGAAGGCTATAGTAAGGGAAAAAGGATGGGAATATTAGGGAAATGTGGGGGGAAAAAAAGACTATAGTAAGGGAACAAAAGATAAGAATCTAGGGCAAATATTGAGAAAAAGGCTAAGGTAAAGGAAAAGTGAAAATAAAAACTAAACTAACTTTTCCAATTTAAAAAAAAACATATTCCATAGTCAAAAACACTTAAATACGAAATTAGACATAATCCTAACTAAAATACAACATATACTCGAAACACTGCAAGAGACAACCCAACCCCGAATTAGCAAATCCATATTCCAAAACGACCATACCCAACAAGGCCTTCAGACTCCGTAAAATAAAAATAAAAATAATAATAATAAGAAAACAAGATAGCCAACCTTAAGGAGAACCTACATAAACAACCCGAGGACCTTTTTAGTTCAGACTCCGAAAAAATAAAAAAAAAACAAGATCGCCAACGTTAAGAGAATTTACATAAACACCAGAGGACCTTTTATCTCAGTGTTGTCCAAACTGTTGTCCAAAAAAACATCTTTTCTATTCGTGTATTAAATTCGAATTATTGACCAATCTGCAATAAGGTCTTAATTACTATATTATTTGCACTACAAAGAGAACAGTTTGTTTAGCCATGTGGACGGGGGGGGGGTACGTAACAGTACAAAAAGGATAATCTATGGTACAGTCGGCGAAAATGCCTGGACAAAAATGGCTCAGCTCACCCGTCTTCTCTCCGATTCTGTCGATGATGATGCCGGCTATGAGCGGGATGATGGAGAAGCCCACCATGGTCATGACGCGCTGTTTGCCGAACTCGCCGCCCTGCTTGTTGATCTGCGCAAGCGTCACGGCGTCCTGGGGGAGGGAGGGGGAAGGTGAAGGTGAAGGTGAAGGTGAAGGTGAAGGTGAAGGGAAAGGTGAAAGGTAGGGAAAGGGAAAAGGAAAGGGAAGGAAAGGGGAAAGGGGAAGGGAAGGGAAAGGGAAGGGAAAGGGAAAGGGAAAGGAAAGGGAAAGGGAAAGGGGAAGGAAGGGAAGGGAAAGGGAAAGGGAAAGGGAAAGGGAAAGGGGAAGGAAAGGGGAAGAGGAAGGGAAGGGGAATGGGATAGCGGGAAGGGGAAGCGGAAACGGGGAGGGGGTGGGAGTGGGGAGGGGAATGGTGGTGGGGAGCGGGAGGGGAGAGTGTGTGTGTAAGTGTTGTGGCGATCTTTCAGTGTTGTTTGGTATTTTTTTTCATTCTCTAACTCTTTTTCTTTTCTTTTCTTTTTCTTCTTTTTCTTCTTCTCTTTTCTCTTTCTCTCTTTCTCTCTCTCTCTCTCTCCATCTCTCTCTCTCTCTCTCTCTCTCTTCTCTCCTCTCTCTCTCTTCTCTCTCTCTCTCTCTCTTCCTCTCTCTCTCTCTCTCTCTCTCCTCTCTCTTCTCTCTCTCTTCTCTCTCTCTCTCTCTCTCTTCTCTCTCTATCAATGTATATCAATCATCAATCAATCGGTACATATATACTGATTGATCATATATTCGATTGATCAATGCACTGATCAACTAACTGCCTGACAGATCGATTTGTGTAATCATTACTTCCTTAGTGATGCATAAACAACTCATTCTCAACACAACAAGCAGCCTACGTCCTCCCTCTCCCCTCCCCGCATGGCGACTGACCATCATGGTGAAGGATGAACCGAGGAAGAAGGTCGCGATCAACCGAAGCACGAAGTAACTCCAGAAGGTCATGGGCGGGGCATTTTTGTCCAGCATTTCGTGGCAGGTCTTCTCACCTGGGACAAAAAAAGAAAGAAATGAATAGATAAAGAGATAAAGAGATAAAAGAATGTATCGTTGAGCGTGTAAATTGCCTTTTCCACGCCATTTATGAAATACGAATTAGTTGTAAATATCTCAAGAACGTATTCTCAGGCAAAATCTCGAAGGGGATACAACAAATCACATTTTCTAAAATCAAATCAATAAAGATATTCATATTCTATACGAAAACCTCACACACATATATAAGTGTGACCAATTCATTATTTAAGTACCGAATACTTGACACTTCATCGGGCAGGGGGAGTTGCAGGTAAGATTATTGTACACGTTTCCCTCGAAGTCAATTTCCCGCCAAGTGTGAAAGCACTGCTGGCCCTCCTCCATCCACGGCGCGAATAGAGTCCCGTTTATCTTTATCTGTGGCAAAAAATAAATAAATAAATGAGAATACAAATAAAGAATAAAAAAAATAAGGTCAGATGGCTATTTTAACTATAATGGGTAAGGGATACAATAAGGGGAAATGAGTTTTTATGTCCTTTCCTCCTCCAAAAAATATAGGCTAAGAATGATGAGGATTCTTACTCGTACGTGATAAATATTACACGAGTATTGTTAACCTAACCCCGAACAAAATGATTCATATCGTTGAATTACTCCTAAAACTGTAACTAGAGGTGTTTCATATCGTTGAATTACTCCTAAAACTGTAACTAAAGGAAGGTATCACATTAATACATTTTTACAAGTATACATATAAGCATACACATCAATAATAAATACAAATAGAGCTGCGACTTGAAGATTAACGGAAAACGCAATCATCAGCTGATCCTCCGAGAGAGTTGCCGCCTGAGCGACTCCAAAACGTTCTCCTTCCTACAGACTAACATGGTCGCAGGATGACCGTGGATATTTCTCTACTCTGCAGTGGAAACCTCAGGCAGGGTTTCCTAAGGCAGGTTCTGGCGTGAACTCTCATGCCCTCTGGCCCGTTGCATGGCGCAGGACTGGGTATGAGTAGGGTGAGTGGCACAGATGCCTTACCGGGTTTGGTACAGTCGAGAAACCCCGTAAGAAACAAAAGAAGTAATTTTTATTGCGTTCCTGCCCGGCAATAGTAAGTGTAATACTCAACGCTGAATTAAACGCATTTGAGCATTTAAAATTTGGGGTGATTCTTACACAGCTCTGACTGCTTTACTGTGAATAAAGGGCTTTATAAACAGAGCGACAAGGAGACAAGAAATTTTCTCCACAAAAAGAATTATTAGTAATAATGGAGCTTCTTCAATGCTCTCGAACCTTCTTTGTCCAAGCAATTGTGTTTAAAAGTGTGATGACTTAGCTATAAAAAATGCGAGGATTACTATCACATTTCTTAAAGAAATTCGATATTGATTGAAACTGTACGGACAACAGTATTATAATGTCCACATAGGATTCACTTCCATTGTAACATATTTATCAATGTTTTCTTTTCGTTCTCTTATTAAGCTTTTAACTGAACGATGAAGATGAAGATAAAACACATGAGTAGCCTATGAAGTATCATACTATTAGTAAATGAGAACACAGTACATTATATCATCTTACTCTTACAAAACGTAACAGTGCACGTGCCAACAGAGGCCATACTAGGTAAACAAGCGATAAGGACATCAATATTTATAAATCTGCAAGACCTTTTCTTCCTGTTTACAAAATCACAAAGAGCTGCATCCAGCGGCAACAAACTATCTGACTAGCACGTACGCTGAACAATTGGCAGTGTGACGCTGAATACACTGAACAGGCGGTTAGGGAGGGACGGCCGCTGCATTAGAGAGCATTTTTTTTTTTTTTGCCTCTCTGTCTCCCTCGTTCTCTTTCAGTCTCTCTTGCTTTCTGATTCTCTCTCGCTCTTTCTTGTTTGTTTGCTTGTTTCTCATTCTCTCTCTCTCTCATTCTCCCCCCTCCCCCTCTCTTTCTTTCTCTCTGCCTGTCTGGTTTCTTTTCTTTTTCTTTCTTTTTTCCCTCTTTTTTCTCTGCCTTCTTCACTTTCTATTTTTCTCTCTCTGTTTCTTTTTCTTTCTGCCTGCCTATCTGCCTTTCTCTCTATCTCTCTCCTACTTTTCTCTCTCTCTCTCTCTCTCTCTCTCTCTCTCTCTCTCTCTCTCTCTCTCTCTCTCTCTCTCTCTCTCTCTCTCTCTCTCTCTCTCTCTCTCTCTCTATCTTCGAATATAATGTTATCCATTTTGTTGAAAAAATGATAGAGGCAGCGTTATATTAGACCGTTTTACCTTTTTCACCTTGAAGTTGTGGCTTCAATCTGATTTTGGTATAAAAGGACAAATGACAAGAACAGGATGATAAATACAAATTTTGTTATGCAAATGGTCTTTGAGGAAAAAATATTGTAAGATATCTCTATCGAAAACATACAGAGTTAAAGAAAAGTTTATTTGAATAAAAGAAATGTAAAATTTACTGAAAGAATGGCAAAGAGTACTTGGATCATTATAAATTTTTTCAGCATGTTAACTTCACAGGTGAAATATATATGATTAGCTGTGTCACATAATAGAATGACACTTGAGTCATGCAATGAGGCCGATGACGTGACGACAGATAACATATGGCCTATATATCTTTTGTTTTTCTTTCTTTTTTCTTTTTTTCATACAGTCGTATCAAAAGGCAGCGATGTGTTTATAGGTTCTGTTTGAACAAAAATCTAGAATCTATAAAATGTTCTCCAGAGATGTTAACGTGTCATCTGTTACGAAATGAAGGTTAATCCGGCATTAAAGTTAACGAACAAGCGGGAAATACAATGGGAATATGGATAGAAATAAATAATAAAGTAGAATTGGAAAAATGGGCCTAAAACATACAGCTATGCATCTAAAAAAGACATTTTATATCTACTTACCTACCTATCTATCTATCTATCTATCTATCTATCTATCTATCTATCTATCTATCTATTAACTGCGGTCAGTCACCCTAATGACACTCACTCAATACTTGACATTAAAAATCTACTAACTATGAAATTATTTTCATCCCCCTTGACCTGACACAACATACATAAAACTTATATCTATTAAAAACGAAAGCAATTATTACCTTATCCGTGGCATTGTAAGAGTTGCAGGTTGTTGTGAAAGCATTTGACAGGCACAACTGCACGTCCTCGGGTGCGTTCTCGCATTCGTATTTGCAGAACTGGGAATAAAGTCAGATTTACCTGTTTTTAGTACTTGGTATATATTTCTCCATCAAAAAATTATTGATAAAGACGTAAATACAGCATAGTTTTTTTTCCAATACAGAACACATTTAGGTTTGATAAAAGACAAGTACAGTTTGACATATACATATAAGTCAAGGTACATATAACCAAGTAACTCAACTTCCATTTAGCTTGTTGAACCCAAAATTGATTTTTCCCCAAGAATATTCTGACGGCTAGCAATGGTAAAGAACTTTTTTTATCAATAAGTAAAAAAGGGGAATTTTATATTACATCTGATGATTATAACAATAATGAGTAAATTGAATAAATAATTATCTAGCTATATCTGATATCTCAAAGGGCACTCACTGGCAAAACCTAATAATATCTTTATCTCCGCACCTCTATTTAACCTGGTTAATCTGTATAATATTTGATGGTATTTTTTTCAGTGCATTTTCTTTTAATATGATCCAGTGATAATGATGCTTGGGAAAAAAAAAATGAAACAAAGGAAAAAATAGATAAATAATAATAGCTGTGAATAAAGATAAATTAGCTCGAAAGCTGCCAACTAGGAATTTCATCAAGATTGAGGGAAGCTACCTGTTTCAAACTACCTTGATATGAGTAGAGCATACTTGTTTTTTATTCATTTATTATCATTATTTATTTTTTACAGCAGGCTCCGCCCTTTTTGCTCGGTTCGTTCTGTAAGTTTGATATCCTTTACCTTAAATGACCTGTTATTATGAAAGGTGAAGCTTTACCTACACCATATAAATCCAAACAGTATGGGTACTTTGAAAAAAAAAAATGTTATAGACATCAAAATAATTGTTAAATGTCAAATATATAATGATTTTGCTCAATACCCTGTAACTATGTTTTGGGAAAGATTTACAGAAAATGACCCTGCATATGATAATATTCGCCCCCGGAAGTCTTTATTACCCTCTAGGCAAATTAGTCATTCTTTCATATCATCATCATTTATAAGTACTTTCCAATGCTCACAATCTTCAGTATTTGTAATTCTAGGATTACTGGTTGTCCATGATTATATTTCAGACAATTTAAGTAGTTTAAAATAAAATATGTAGCTGGTAGTGGTGAGTACTTAGTACTTTTGGGCTGTCAATTTATAGGTTAACTACGGTATCTGTAAACTACGTAAAACATCAGGAATAATAGTTAAGACGAGCCAAGCACATCGTTCCTCGGGAGCAGGCTAGCCAACCGAATCGAGGAAAGTCCTCCAAGATAAAAGTGTGATATTCACCCTTATGGTTAGCGCTGCGTCGGTGTTGTTCCTGAGGTCATAGCAGTCGTCGCACTGCTCCCACACGAGGCTATGACCCCCCGTGTCACACTCGAAGGTGACGGCGTTTCCGGGCACGGGGGGCACCTGCAGCATCAGGGTATGGAACACGCCCGTGAGGATGATGTTGATGATGAACATGATGTTGTACTTGCCGAATTTGTCCGCGATCATGCCTGGTTGTGGGGAGGAGAGGGAGAAGGTTGGTTTCGGTGTGCGGGGTCGAGAGGGTTGTTCGCCTCCTGATATGGTCACATGTGTAAGCGCATACAAGGACAGACAAACACGTGATAGACACAGACGCACAAGCACACACACACACACACACACACACACACACACACACACACACACACACACACACACACCACACACACCACACACACACACACACACACGTTTCCCCCTCCCCACACAAGCACAAAACTTCTCCCACCCCAAAACAATCACACACAAACACAAACCGCCAGCAAGCACTTTTCACAAGCCTTCAAGATCTGCATAAAAGGACGTAAATAACCGCCATCAACAAGGTACAGCCACGATCAAAAGACTTTTAACGAATTGAAGCTTCGAATCTGTCTCATCCTATACAAAAAGCGTGGCATGAAGCCGATGTTCGAAGCGGAATTCGAACCATATTTTACAAGAATTTTGACCGCGACTGTACAAGCCTCCAAGATTAGATTAAAAGGACTTAAATAAACAGAAAAGACTTCCTTACCTGTCGCAGGAGGACCCAAAAGCGAGGCAATCGGAAGCACAGCGTACATGATGGCTATTTCTTCGACATTAAGGCCCAGCTGCTGCATGTGGAGGGTCAGGTACGGGATGAAGGCGACCACTCCTGCAGGAGGAAGGGCCGAGGGTCATGTGGTTTGGGGATTGTTTGTCTGTTTGTGTGTCTGTCTGTTGACATTTCGATGTCTCGATGTCTCTCTGTATCTTGTCTGTCTGTTGTTGACGTTTGATGTCTCTAATATCTGTCTGTCTGTCAGTCTTTCTGTCTCTCTTCCGAAGCAAATATCAAAATCAACCTTTACTGACAGACGCTAGTTCATTAGTTCATAAGTCAACTAATTATGAACAAGCTTCATGTTCACAGTATCACTAACGTAAATTTAAAAATCAGCAATTTCTATTATTCTTCCGAAAAAATAGCTTCCGGCTCTTAACTTCAAGAACTATCTATAATTACGCAACTATCACTTTAAATTTGATATACAGTGAGAAAACCACCTTGTTCTGATATATCCTCCCCAGAGAAAAGTGAACATGCCAAACCTGAGGAAATCCCCAGATGATGCCAACACGACCCACCTCCAGTAAAGAAGAAGATGATGCACTTGATGGGGATGAACCGCTTGTCTATCGTGAACTCCTGCTTGAGCCAGTGGCCCCACCCGCGCCACTCTCGGGGGGGCTCGTTGCTGTTCT